GTACCCGGAGGCGGACGAACCAGCGTTGCAAGCGCATCGTGCGCAGCAAACCTAGCGGCACCACTGAATGGGCTGCGGACATCATGCCCAGGAGTTTCATGACTAACCGGGCTCTCACGATCTTGCGGGGTTGAACACGGGAGATCACCATGGAGAGATCTGCCGCTCTTGCAGGCGACAAACGTGCTCTCATTAGGGAGGCGTCCAACTCCACCCCGAGATACACAATCGACTGGGATGGAAGGATGGAGCTCTTTTCCCAGTTTATAGAAAACCCTAGGGTTGACAGATGCCCTGTCAACCTCCTGGTTTGCTGTGACGCCTCGTCCTTGGACCGAGCGCACAGGAGAAGATCGTCCAGGTAAAATAAGACCCTCATTCCCTCCGTGCGCAGTGGCTGCAGCGCGGTCTCCAGACATTTGGAGAAGGTGCGCGGGGCTAGCGAGTAGCCGAAAGGGAGGCGATTGAACTGATATTGAACTCCCTTGAACAAAAAACGCAGAAACTTCCGGTGGTTTGGAACTACTGGTATTTGGAAGTATGCATCTTTCAGGTCGATTGACGTGAACCAATCCCCGGGGTGCACATATTCCAGGACTTGTCTCATCGTCAACATGCGGAAATGCATTACTGCTATGGAGCAGTTGAACAGGGACAGGTCGAGAATCGGCCTCATTCCTCCCGACTTCTTCGGTACTACGAAGTAGCGGGAGTAGAAACCCGAGAGTTCTTGTCCGCAAGGGACTCGGGAAATAGCGTCTTTGGACAGAAGTTCCCGCAGCTCCAGCTCTAGCGCCTGAGACTGTACTTGCGATGTGAACGTCGTCTCCATGATCCCGTTGAAGGGAGGTGGAGTGGCCTGAAAATGAAGTGTGTGACCGCAATAAATGGTGTCCGAAATCCATTTGCTCATGATGCAAAGGCGGCGCCACTCGTGCGCGCGTTCCGACAGTGGACGCGTGTGCGCGGTCACGTGAACAACGTCTGAGGGTTGTGCATGCGCCCTTACCGCCGTCGCCCGTACCAGAGAACTGGGGGCGACCCATGGAGGGCTGCGCTCGAAAGGGCGAGTGCGAAACAGCTGGAACAGGCTGGTCCACACCGCGGAGCGTGGAGTCCGAGAGTGAAGGACGAGTGGGAGCCGGGCCTGTGCACGGGGGCGACAGAGTGCTAGCGGATGGAGCCGCGCACTGTGCCGCCGCGCGTGGTCGAGACAGCGACATGACATCCCGCCCCACCCAACGGCGTGAGGAGAGCGGGAAGAGTTGGGCCTGGCCGGATGCTGGGGCCAGAGCGCAAATGGAGCGCACCCTTACGGCTGGCCGTGTATTATGACTACCTGCAGGAACATGTGTGCGTGCAGCAGTGCTTGGTGTGAGGAACATGTGTGAAAACTCGGCAGAGGATTCTGCGGAGGACTGTAGGATTGTGCTCTTTGAGTGACGTTTTTTGGGTTTTATTTCAAAACCAACAACATCAGAACAATCAGTAACACACACATTCCCCCCAAAGAGTCACTTCCGTGGCTGCTTTCGGCGAGGCTCCTGCACCTGGGACTGCCAAGACGGCGTCTGCTGGCCCCGCCGGAACCGTTGTCCGCCATCTCGCTGGTCCCGCTGATGTGGAGCCGAAGCGGGAGGCCGGCTCCGTGGAGCGGGCGGTGCAGCTGGATGTCTGAAGCTTCCGCGCCGTTCGTCCCATCCTCTGGCTGAACGGCCGGAGTGCGAGGCTGACCGAGGGTGGACCAGGTCTCGCACCGTAGCCGATAGTTCGGCCGTCTTCTGAGCCCTCTCAATGACGCCCCTAAGATGGGGACCAAACAGAACATCGGTGGTGATGGAGCCATCCAGCATCTCCCTTTGCAGATGTTCCGGAATGGAGGGCAGGGCCTTCAGCCAGATCGCTCGCTGGATGAGGGTCTGCCAGGCAGCGATGCGAGCAGAACCGGTGAGCACAGCAGCACACAGATTGAGGATAGCATCAGCAGTCTTAGTTATGACGGCTTTCGACTCCTCGGGAGCTTCCAGCTCCTCCATCATCTTGGAGACGCCGAAGGCAAGAAGGGCGATGTTATTCCCTGCAGCGCCGGTCTGAAAGGCACACTGATGTGCGCGGTCGGCGAGCCGCGTCAGCAGCTGGTCATGTTTTGAAGCGGGAACAGCTCGCGGGCCAGCGAGGTGGTTCTTGGCGCCGAACAGCGAGGCCAAATCCGGCTCTAGTGGAGGAACGGACGGCCAGCCTTGGTCGGAAAACCCCTCGACCTTGGTGATGGGCGCATACGTGGAGACTGGCTCCTTGAGCTTGGCAGGCTCGGAAAAGGCGGCAGACCAGCAGCTCATAGCAGCGGGGAAGCGCGGCCAGACAGGGTCTGGACAGCGTGTCTGAGTTGCCCCGAAAATTCCCGCCAAATCATCCGCTTCAGGCAGGGCCGGTTCTGGCACAGCTAGCCCCTTGCGGGCTGCTGCCGCAGAAATGATGGCGGGCAGCTCCTGGAGCAGTGCTCTTACTGCTGGCAGGGAGGAGCGAGAAGCCACTGAGGCAGAAGGACCCGCTGAGCGAAGCTCGTCAACCTCCGTTATGTCTAGGAGGGATGCCGCCTCATCGTAGTTTTCGCTGTCGGTGACGTCATCCAGCCGGTTGAAGCCAGCCGGCTCCTGATCGGCGTCGAAGAAAACCAAAGCCTTGTCCAGCGGGTAGGAGTCAGCCACCGGAAATTCTTCGTCGGCGGCGGGAGTGAAGTACTCGACCCGGCGAATCTTCTCCGCCACGGGCAGAGCGGCACAGAACGGGCACGAGGCCTGCGGGGTCAAGGCCAGGCCAGCGTGGTGAGCCCCGAGACAGACCTCACACTAGCGTGCAGGTCGCCGCTGGAAATGGAGCCCATCTGGCAGGTCGGGCAGGGTCTGGCGTCGCTGGACATGGCTGGTAAGTCGTCTTCGGATAATTTTGCTCTTTTGGGATAATATTTGCTCTTTAATAAAGCTCTCAAGCTTGGCATGAAGAGAAAAAGGAGGTGAGCAGTGGGGTCACTGCGGTTATATACCACGAGGGGGCCCACTATTGGTGGGCGTACATTTAAGCTCTTCATGATTGGCTGATGTGGAGATCATCCTTCCAATAGCAGCTAGCTTAAGGGCTAAGACTAGACGAAATAGAACTAAGTCCACATTCCGCTCACCCTGAGCCTGAAAATCTTTGATTACATGGATTTAAAGACAGCATCAGTTATAATGCTTCAGGTTATTTTAGTTCTTGAGGTGAACAATAAATAAAATGTTCAGGCTCCAAAAAAAAAAAAAGAAGACAAGATTAGGATTTATAACCTGAGCTGTCTGACAACAAGGAGGAACATGTCTAACCTGTGAGACGTCGGCAGATTTCAGGACAGCTGAGTCCTCGTCAACTGTCTGAGTGATCACTGCAGCACACACACACACACACACACACACACACACACACACACACACACACACACACACACACACACACACACACACACACACACACACACACACACACACACACACACACACACCACTAACATTCCACGATCATCATTGTTTTTCATGGTGAAGGGATGCCAATTGTGATTCTTTCTGTTCACAAAGAATGACTCGTCTTCAGACGTTGCATCTCCTCCATCTTCCTAAGTGTGTGCTACTCTCTGTGTCATGCGACCTTAACCCAGCATGCATCCAGTGCACAGGGGAAGAGAAGGACAAAGGTGAGGGGAACTGATACACTTACCCAACACTAAGTGCAACATTAACAACACTTTGGTGCATATTCTGAGCCAACTTAGATGACAGTTGCTGCTTTTCGTTCTCTTGTGTGATCATAACGCCAGTAACATCTTTCAACACGAGTGTGTTAACAGTAAAACTATTGGGCTGAGACTTCTAGAGACTCTCATGTCCAAAGGTTTAGAGTTAACATGGCTTTTCTTTTTTCTCTTCTTTCTTCACCATGATGCAAACATCCACCAGGAGCCTCAAGATCGCGACTAAACCAACATGTAGGACCTACCAAGGCACACTCCACAGCTAAAATATCCTTTCAGCCTTTTCAACCAAGATGCATCCTGCTGCATCAGCCGCAACTCCACCAGAAACTAAACTAAACCACATTCCATCACACAGGACTTAAACCTGACCCTTTCTACGAGGTGTGTGTGTGTCACTACAGAAAGATAGGTTCCCCTCGTTTTGTTCTGTAACAATTAAACTACGTTGTTTATCTGAATTGTTTTTATTCAAATCACAATAAAAAATTTTAGCCAGTTTGTTTTCTTATCAGTAATGAGATATTGGACCTGCCAGAGAACATCTGAACTCAGTCAAATGTCAGCCGAAGGACCCCCACCCCGACCAGATGTCATTTTGACCAATCACGATGCATGTGTCACCTGAGTGATACTGATAAGATAGATAGGTCATAAAGAATGAGGAAGCGCTGCTAGCTCACCTCACTCTGCTGGGTGGCTTTATTGCACCACAGCAGCTACTGCATGCACAGCTGATGTGGAGAAAACATAAGGGATGTCTTTAAACTCCCAGTGAAGACAATAGAGGCTGTTATCAAACTCAGCATGACTGATCTGGTGACACGAATCTAACACGGGCCGGAGGAACCAGTCAGACAAAACACAGGGTGAAGGAAACAAGAGAAAAGAAGAAGCAGCAAGAACTGGGAGACACCAGGACAGTGTAGGGAGTGTGGGCACACACATACACACACACACACACACACTGATAGAACCCCCAAAGCCACACAGCACCGCTGTCTTGGGCCTGTGTACCAGAACAGTAGGTGTCTTCCCTGATGCTGGTGTATACTGTAGTGTGTCCCAGTTGAAAGTGATTAAACATGTTCTGCTGTGACAACGCTGAGCCTGAACCTTTTACATTAGTTAAAATAAGCTGTCCTCCTGGGCCTTATGGCTGAGCTGTGTGATTGTGTGATTGTGTGTAGAGCTGCAGTCACTAGGAGGGACATGTTACCTGGCTATGACAAATAGCACACAACTGACACCCAAGTAAGCCAGCAGAATATACATCCAGATATCAGGCGACAGGGGGTTGAGGAAGGAGAAGACCCCAGGGTTGGTCCCGTTGGGCTTGCGGTACAGTATACTTATACCCAGCGTCATGAAGGGCTTGGAGAAGTCAATAACCTTCTCACGAACATACGTGATGGCGAGGGGAGCCACAGCCAGGTCAGCTCTCTGTCAACAGCAAACAGGAGAAGGGAAGATGGATGGGCTTTAAGTTCCAGGTACAGCAAACATTTACAGACAATCAAATTAAGAAAACAGGCTCTTTACACTCTACAGTCGGTCCAAAGGCACTTAGCTAACATGTAAGGCTCTTTTTTTTCTTTCTACCCTTCAAGGAAACCCCCCACTGGTAAATTTCCTCTACTGAACTGAAGTCCAAGATGAGTTCTTCACATTTTCTTTAAAGTGAATTTAGTCGAGTCTACAGCCTGTGCTGGGATGTTCACACATATAGGAGTGCCCAGTTTTTAATGATTTTTAAACATTAGGCAAGAGTAAGGTTATTAAAGGTGTGGTTCACTTGTTTATTTAATGCATTTACTGTGGTCTGGTAGGAATGATTGCCTTGCAAGTTGTACTCTGGGAAGAAAAGCTCAGATGCACCTGTTTCAGGAACTAGCAGGATGCCACATCAGAGGAGAGCTTATTTCCTGATGTTTGGACATCTCGCCTCGGAATGGGTAACAGCAACATGACTCTATCACTGATTCAGTTTGATCTGTGACGTGGATGTTTTATCTCCACAAAAATCTCAAGCCTAGAGGAGATAATGCTAATGGTAACGTTAGCTACCAGTCGAGACGTTCTCTGCTGTTTCCTGGATGATAAAATAACAGCAGCCTTCCTCATTGGGTGAGTCCACGAATGTTAAGTAACAGTGTGACGTAAATCTGTCAGGCTTTGCAAATCCTAGAGTTTCACCACCTATTTTATATCAGAAGCTAAAGCAGGAGATAGGTGTAGGAGACTATTTTCATGTTCAGCCTGCATGAAAAACTCGAGTTACTGATTCTAATCAGAAATAATAACTTAAAAATGAGTTTTCAATGTTCCACACCTTTAAACACTACGCAAGAGTACTGAGAAGTTTTTTATAAAAGGTTTGTCAATAAAGCATTCTGATATTTCAGCAAATTCAGCAAAGGTCACACAGGTCAATTTGAACATTTTGAATCAGAGGTAACACCCAGAACTTGCTCCAGGGACAGAAAATCCCAATCCATTGTTTATGAGTAACAAACCTGATCCTGCACCACAACTCTATACACTATCAAGGTCAACTGGTTCATCTTTCCAAGAAACTTTAGTTTTTTAAACATCTTTTGTACGTTTTTTCTGTGTTTGTCTTCAAATTCCATTTTTGGTTCTTTTTTAAACACAAATAAGGTTTCTCTTTACCTTGCTGACGGTTTGTTTGCGGCTGCAAACATCCTCAGAGCTGACGCTGATGGTGGCGTCACTTCCTACTCCATTTATCCGTGGGCAGCAGAGGACGTTGTCACCCTCTGCTGCCCGCTCTCCCCTCTTCGATGATGCAGTCCCATGCGTGATCCAATAAGTAAACCCCATCGTCTCTGTTCATAGTCCCACATCCACCCCTCCTTATCTCTATAGCTTCCTTTATCCATCTTTTGTATTTCTGTTGTTCGGTGTTTATGATCCTTGTGTTGTCCCAGTCCATTATATGGTTTTCTCTTGTGCAGTGATCTGTTACGGCCGACTTCTTTATTGTGCTTTCTGCTTCTTGTTTTGTTGCTCTTGTGTGTCTTCGACTTGTTTCTTTCTCACAATCCTTTCTATGTTCTATTGTTTGTGTGTTGAGTTGGCGTCCGGTTTCTCCTATGTATGTTTTATTGCAGAGTTTGCATGGGATTTCGTAAATGACTCCACATTTAAGTCCAGCTGGTCTCTTGTCTTTTGGGTGTACTAGTCTGTTTCTAACTGTTGTGTATGGTTTTGTTGGTGTGTTTATGTTGTGTTTTTTCATTGTTGCTCTTATTTTTTCTGTTATGCCTTTGATGTATGGTAGGGTTATCACTGGTTTTGGTTCTTGTCTTTCTGGGTTTCTGGTTCTTTGCTTAGGTTGATCTTTTCTTTCTGTTGTTGTTTGTTGTTTTCCTTTGTTTATTGCCCATGTCGGGTATCCGCAGGTCTTTAAAGCGTGTTGTATGTGTTTGTCTTCTTGTTTACGGTCTCTTTCTTCTGTTACTGTGTTTGCTCTGTGATATAATGTTCTGATTACTGACATTTTGTGTATGGTGGGGTGTTCTGATGTCCATAATCGGACGCCAACTCAACACACGAACAATAGAACATAGAAAGGAGTGTGAGAAAGAAACAAATCGAAAACACACAAGAGCAACAAAACAAGAAGCAGAAAGCACAATAAAGAAGTCAGCCGTAACAGATCACTGCACAAGAGAAAACCACATAATGGACTGGGACATCACAAGGATCATAAACACCGAACAACAGAAATACAAAAGATGGATAAAGGAAGCTATAGAGATAAGGAGGCGTGGATGTGGGACCATGAGCAGAGACAATGGAGTTTACTTATTGGATCGTGCATGGGACTGCATCATCGGAGAGGGGAGAGTGGGCAGCAGAGGGTGATCCTCTGCTGCCCACTGATAAACGGAGTAGGAAGTGACGCCACCATCAGCGTCAGCTCTGAGGATGTTTTGCAGCCGCAAACGAAACGTCGGCAAGGTGAAGAAAAACCTTATCTGTGTTTAAAAAAGAACCAAAATTGGAACTTTAGTTATTTCTCAAGAAGGTGGTCATTTATCTGTGAGGCTGAGCAGACTGGGCTGCGTTCTGTTTCCTGATCCAACAAATCAGGATGTGTTATTTCCACTTTGAACATTGGGCAGATCACTAATTATTCAGCTGAATTTCTTTGACATCACCTTTCAAATTTGTTCAGTTAATTTCCGGACAGTTTCTTCTGACTGATTCCAACCCTTCCTGGTCTTTGAAGGCCCTGTCAAGTGCAATCACCATCCATCTGAGTCAAGAGGAAGAAGTGGGGCAAACCAATGCTGAACAACACCTCACGGGGGACCGAGCCCTTCCCACGTCTACAAACAAGTCTATCCGTCACGGCAGACTCGGGCAGAAGACGAGTGGAGACGAGTTAAGGGCCACTTGACCCCTCGCGGCTGCAGCTTCTAATGAGGTCAGATATTGACTGTCGGCCATGCAGCTCCTGCTAGTTTTCTGTTCGCGCGCTTTATCCTAACTGGGACTTTGTTGGTTGTAATGATCAATGCTGCCAGCAGATTCCGTGTGTGTGTGTGTGTGTGTGTGTGTGTGTGTGTGTGTGTGTGTGTGTGTGTGTGTGTGTGTGTGTGTGTGTGTGTTTTAATAAGCTCTGTAGGGGAAACAACTCATGACAGGATCTATGCTTCCCTGGAATAGCTGCACTTTTAATGCTGCCTCGCTGTACTCCTCCTCTCAGTTAGACTTCGGCCATTTTCCCTCCCAGCTGAACATTTACATGCTAACAGATTTAATGTTTCATTCCAAAATATTAGAATATCTAAGGTTGCTGCTCCTAAATGACGTGATGTAATTAAGTAAAGAGCACAACTCTAAGCTCTGCTGCTGATAAATAAAAACCGTGGTTGTTTATTTCCAAGGTTTCAGACCTTTGGGGGTCAGGGGCCTCTTACTGGGGCAATCTGAGGTGGTCTACGGACAGATTTACCCTTAGTTTTGTTTGTGAACTAGGGTTAGGGTTAGGGCTAATTTATGATGCGAAACCTCTTTAACCTGGCTGACTAGAGGGTCTTACTTGGTCATTCTTGATAAAGATAACGAGATAATTGTTGGCATGCTTCTAATTTCAGCCGGTTTGGCTCTTGAATGACTTTTGAATTATGGCATTCATAAAGTGCCAAAACATGTGCAAGCGGTTTTTGCATGCGTGTGTGAATCATCGAGCGTGCAAACGTGGCACGCGATGGATCTTCTGCGTGTGTGTGCGGAAACTGCGTGCACGTGTTTTGACTCTATACAAACACATACAATCAAGTAGGTTGATTATAAAGTGTGTCCATTCTAATTAGCTTTTCTCCAGGAGATGCGGTGTGTCTGTAGGTCCAACTACATGGGTTTCATGGACCTCAAGTGTATGGCTCACAAACCAGTGTCCTGGGAGTCGGGAACCCAGTTTGATGGTTTATACAAACGACCAGGATCTGACCCCAGATGTAGTCGATTTATTTACTACATTCAATATTTTCACCAAAGGACACACTTTTATTTGCGCTGTGATTATGAATTACTTTGTAAACAAGGTTTCTGTAGACGAATCTCCACTGATGGGGAAGTTCAATACGCATTCATCAGAAAAGGACATATGACATTTTTTTTCATTTATATTTGGAAAACTGTTTTGAAAACTGTAACATGAGAAGTCATTCATATTTATGTACGTGAGAACGTTCTCTTGACTCTGACTTTGAAAATAGAGAAAACCCGTCAACATCCTTCCATGTTTGTTTATAGTGGTTTGCTGCTTATATCGGCAAAAAGGTCAAAGTTTGAACTGACTGACTTCGTCTGACTCCAGAACTTTTCCTGTGTGTGTGTGTGTGTGTGTGTGTGTGTGTGTGTGTGTGTGTGTGTGTGTGTGTGTGTGTGTGTGTGTGTGTGTGTGTATGTGTGTGTGTGCGTGATGCTCATTCAGTCACTGCTATTGACTCAGACACAATGACAAGACCTAGAACTGGAATCACTAACATTTCATTTTATCGCCTCAAAGCAGATTCTTGGGTAACTAGAAGCTAACAAACAAATTATTTTATTTTCTTTTAAAATACTTTTAACAATTTGATCTCCATTAATGACCAAGATTCACCCAACCATTTACTTCTCATGCTTCACCTTTTTTACAGCTTCTGTCATTAGCTTGTTGTTCCTATTAGATGACACAGTCAGGTCATAGGGACAGAGAACAGCATGCAGACCGTGGTTGTTACCATTTGAAAGTGCAAATGGTCCAGAGCTAGTTCAGTCTTATCCTTGTTTTGGTGTTGATGCTCCAAGAACAAGTTGAGTTTTATGTTTAGATAGTACAATTGCTAGTTTTTGAATAGACTCACGTGGTCCATCAGCTCCTTGACCATGCCGTTCCACTGTCCAGTGTTCTCATCCTGTGCTCCATATTTTCCGTCCTCCACCAGGCAGACCTTGTAGGTGAAGCCCAGGATGTTGGCCAGCTCTCTCAGCAGGTCTATGCAGTAGCCTTCAAAGCGATCATTCCCGTACAGTGGGGTGTCAGACTTCTTGAACATCACGTATGGCTCTTCCTGCCAGGCAAAATAGTGGAAAGATGAGTCTTTTACCTACTGATAGGTGTTATCTGACAGGTCATCTGATATGGCTGATGTGCCTTTGAGTCATGAGTCAGACCCTAAGTCGAAGCGGCCTGGCTTTAGCCCTGCTGTGAGCTTGGCACAGGTTTGTGATACTCTGCAGAATGAGTGCAAAGTGAGGCGTGACCATATTAGGAGATAATCTCCCATATCAAGGTCTCTTTGCTCCTCTCAGGCACAGCAGGCTGGCTTTGGTCCCAGGACCAGCGTTCAGGAGACCACACGCTATGTCGATACGATGGGAGATGCCGATAGATGGAGGGGAGAGAGAGAGAGAGGATGGTGGAACTGCTTTGTTCACATGAACAGCTGGGGAGATTACTGATGTCTTTTTTCATACTGTTTCCTCTCTGCCTACACAGCAGCTCCACCACTATGTTCATTTCCTCCATTCCCTCTAAGCTTCTTCCTCTGTTACATCCTCTGCCTGCTTCCTCCTCTTTATACATCGACTCCATGCACCATCTGGCTTTGTTAGCTTTAGACCTTCATTTCAGCATCATGTCCCTCGTTTCTATGACTCCCTTGTCTCTTTCAGGCAAATAAATCTTTTCATTTATCACCTAACAGGTGTTGTTTATTGTACAACTTTGGCACAACTGAATCTAACAAGTAACAAAAAAGAAAAATTCCTGATCACAATGCGATGTTGTTGATATTTCACTTGTATGAAATAATAAAGATAACATCTAAATGCACAGCTGGGGCAGTTGTTGCAATGTGCCTTGAGTCTGAAGGAATGGGTGTTATTGAAACTTGGGTAATTCAGCATTATCAGAATATATCCAGACTGTCCCTGAGTGATCAGGAGGAAGTTAAACTGAGATGTTCTGGAGAACAAAATTATCTTCTGTTAGCATAGAATCATTTAAAAGTCCTCAGCTTAGAGAAATAGAGATTAGTCCTGCAGAAACAAGCAAGCTAATGGCTGGTTCAGCGCCGCCCCTCCCTACACGCAGATCACGCACTGTGCGTAGACAAAGGAGGTGGTGATTCACTTAAGTAAGCAGACCCCCCTTGTCAAACTAGTGACTTTCCAAGGTGTGTTCAATGAAATGATGGAGTAGAGAAATCTGGACATTCAGCCCAACAACAAACTGGACTGGTTCACAAATACTGATGCACTCAACAAAAATGGTCTCAGTTGTGTTCACCTACCAAAGGGCAGCTTTTGACGCAGCGCTGAACTCAGTTTAGGCGTGAGTGTTATTTGGCTGATTGCTCACCAGAAAGACTCTTGGTGCTACCAGTTGGGGCCTCTGACCTCACAGTTTGCAGAGGTCACTGGGATCCTAATAATCCTGCAACTTGCTGCCGATCGTGGTGTTCATGAACGGGTGATCTGCAACGACTTGGGCTAAACTCGACTCAGCTTCACCTGCCATCTGCCCTCTTGGAAGAGTAATGGGTGCGATGCCTTAGTGCCAGTGGGGTGGGAGTTCTCGGTAGATCCTGTCAGCATCAGAGTCGGCTTGACATGGATGGTGAGTTGTTCGATGTCTTGGAGTTCAAAGGTTGTAGGACCCTGGAATCTGCATGGCTGGTCAATAAGATAATCCCCTGGGTGACTGCTGAAAGCTGGCAGTCGTTTCCCGTCGGATGAGTTGTTTTGCAGATTAAAACAAGTAATATCGTTTGATCTTGAAAAAGGATGGTTCTTTCTGATCTTTTAAAGGTCGGTTTTTCTACGTTTTGGTCCAATCAGATGCCAGAAAATATAATGGGCGTTACCAAGAGTCTTCAGACGTCACCTCATTCTCAGAAATGTAGAAAAGGTTAATTTCACTTAATATGTGAAGTAAATATGATATAACAGTCATTTATCAATATACTAACATTAATATGTGCCATAACTGAGAATAAATCATTATTAAATCATCAACTAGACTTGTTTGGTGTATTTAAGATCTGAAATAAGGCATTTCAAGAATAAACAGTTATGTTGATTCATTAATTTCTGTAAAGCAGTCAAAACTTATTTAAATCCCTTTAGTTAAAACATTCATTATAACATGTAATTGTAATTAACCTGTAAAGTGAAGAAATCCTTTCATGAAACATAATAATTATTTTTATTAAACAGACTCACGTCAGCTTTTTGGCAACTTTCAGACTTATTAATGTGGACACAGCTGAGAGCCTGAAATGGAACGTGGCCCCTGAGCAGCAGCAGCTCCACGAGGAACCTGATGTAATGTTGATGAAAGAGCAGAAAGCATGGACCATTTGAAGATCAACACCACCATGTCAGCAAACATCAGGGCTTCCAGAAAGATGGGTTTAATCAGGTGGAGGAGATGAGTGGGTGAAACAACTAAAACCAGTCCAGAGACCAGGAGCAATCACTGACCAGAATATAATTCAGCAACACATACCATGTGCAGGATGCATGTGCTTTTTTTTTTTTTTTTTTTTTTTACAATTTATTGCACCATCTAACAATCCAAGGTAAAAGCCATTTTTCTCCTTTGCCTGGTCTCCATGGTAACAGAAACACATTTTCCAGAGGTTTTGAGTCTTCCCGGGTTGTTTTCTATAGCCACTGTGTGCATCTGATGATGTCGTGACTTTGAAAAGAAAGAAGGGATGAAAATTAGTTCTCAACAATTTATCTTAAAAACATAAATCATGGGTTTATTTTTTTATCATGCGGTTTCTGCTGCAGTATGCAAACAGCTGTGGCCGGGTGCAACTAAGTAAAAATTAGTGCATGAACAATTATAAGTACTATTACAATTTTGCAGCTAGTCCTGTTGTGTGCCATTTTGTGTTTTTAAGGAAGATTTTTTTTCCATGGAAAACAAATGGGAGTGCAATTTTTAGAAGGAGAATATTGAAATGAATCCCGCAGAGTGATTTATTAAGGTCTGCCGTAGGCAATTTACTGCTGATTGCACCATTATTTACTGCCAAACAAAAGCATGGCATATATTTTACACTTGACGGGCCTGTGACAGCTGCTGCATGGAGGAGGCGCTGCAGGGAGCAGAGACTGGTGAAAGGAGGAAGATGTTTTCAGAGCAGACTGAGCGCCAACACAGCAAAGACAAAGACAGCGGGGACAGATATCTTCTAATGAACCTTGTCACTCTGCAGCTCAACTGTGTACAACGTAGAATCCTCAAGAGGAGTTTTAGATCAGTCTGCTTTGGTCAGCATGACCACTCCCACCTTGAGGCAGGCTTACCAGAACGAATGAGCATAACTTTAAATGCTGTAGAACCAGAGGTGCTCATAGAGAACCTGGGGAGGAGTGGCTGACGGTCAACCAAAGGGCTGCTGGTTCAATCCCAGCTTTTGTTTTAACACCTCCCTCTCCAAGGCTCAGTGGAAGAAACATTGAAGTCGGTCAAGCTCTTCTTGGTTAACAAAAACCAAAGATTGTATAGTTCCTGTAGTTTTTGGAACTACAGGAACTCTTCTAGAACTTAATATCTCTGTGAAATAGGTTTAAATCGCAACCCGCTGATCTGATACGCTACTTATCCCTGTTGTCACATCTCTGACCAGTTATCTGGACTTTTCTTATAAAACACCTTTAACATTGTGTGAAATGTCATCACAAACTGCAACAAAGCCCCTGATCCAGATGAAGTTTCAGATTTACCTTCATCGTTGTCATGCTTAAGAGCATGGTATATTGGTATAAAATTACAAAACAAAATATTGGAAATTCACACCATAGAGACCATAGAGTTAATCAGAGATATGAAGAAACAGTCTTGGCTTGTTTAAATAATCTAAATCTAATTGTTAAAAGAACAACAAATTAATCATTTTCTATTGTTCCCCACAAACTGAAAGATAAAATAATGCACTCCTCTTCCATTTTTTCACATAGTAAGACATGATTCTACTTTTAATTAGTTGGAACGGAGGCGCAGTTGTCTGGATAAGATGAGTGATACACATTCTTAACCTGACAGAGCTACAAAACTACAAAAACTTCTGGTTCAGACAAAATAGATACATATTTTCACATTCTCGTTCATCGCAAATTTCTTTCTGATGTGTGTAGGGACAAAAATAATTTTCTCTTTTAAGTTGGAAAATCCTATAAATGGCTTATTTAAGTATTTTTTTAAATTGAACTTTCAATTGCCAAAACGTACCGGGAACCTTCTTCAGCCATGCCCACGGCCTCTGTTAATCAGCTGTAATTAATCAGAATGTTGTCCCTTCCATTTTGTTTTAAATGACACTGTCACAGCGCCACAGCTGGGGGGATGCTGGTTTCAGCTACAGCAGGACTCCTGAAGCAGGATGTGACCACAGACAGAGGGTGAAACCTGTCAGCTAACTTTTTATGAGAAGCCAACATGAAGATGAATACAGTTTAGCTGAGATAAGTTGGGATCAACTGGACTTATTGTTTAGTACTTACACATGAGCTGAACTTACATTTACAGCATTGAGGTGGAGCCGTCTGGCAGGGCCAGATTAACACTTCGTTGTACCCTGGGCAACAATATTAAAGGGCCCCATCATCACGACCCAAGGATCACCATAATATGGTCACATACAGAATATTTTACTGTAATATGCAGTAAATATACTCAATACTTGAATGCCTGATGTCACAAAACCCGCTCAGGGTAACCTTTTACCCACCTTGTGTTGACTGACCAATGAGGAGAGGGTCTTAACTTGAGGCCCTCTCTTCATTAGTCAGTCTGCATGAGACTGACTCTCAACCGCTCTGAACTGACGTTCAAACTCATAGGCAGCGAAGTGTCTCTGTGCAGCACAAAAGCCCGGGTGGACAGTTTGTTTAATACAGGGTGACCATATTTCCATTTCCAAAAAAGAGGACAGGGGATCTGTGCCTATGACGTCACACTATGGCAACGCCACACAAACCACGTTGGGACCCATTTTGGGTTTGGATTGGGGGGTTCTGTTTTGCCTTGGCCCCCAAAATACCTTGAAACGGC